CCCCCCCCCCCCCCCCCCCTGGCCCACACTGGAACGGTTGCAACAAAACCATGCCTTGTGCGAGTAGGTTTGGACCATATCCCGTCTTAACGCGGAAACTCTGTCGCCGTCTGTGCCCTCCGTGTATGTTATGCACCCGTCGCCGACGCGGCGGTGGAGACGACCGGGAGTGATGGCAAACCCGAAGCGTTGGAACCATACATACTGCAGGTTATTTTGATGGCAGTATCTAGACTGTCTGGCCACGAGCTGTTAATGGGCGTGTACGAGTGCGTGGAGGGCCGGGATTAAAACTGCGCCATTAAGCCGTTGGCCTGGTCATCCGGAAAGCGGCCGAAGGCAAAGCTTCCGCCTGGCTGCTGTACAGTCGGTGGGCCCGCTCTGTCAAGCCCAGTAGCTTGCCAGTGACAGCACCTACTCCTTTGCTGTCTGGGCCGCTAGTGCCATCTACGTGTGCTAATGGCTGAGTTTCAATCTTACATGTCCACAGGTGGACAGGGCGCCCCAGGGCCAGCTGCTCACCGATGAGGACACACCATTCCGCGCCGGCCAGACTGCGTTGTTGCTTTGTGCGGCCTAGTGGCGGCGCGGCTTGGCCGTTTGTACACCGAGTCGGAGCGGCGACGGGCCGTGCTCCGTTCCGCTTGGCGCCGTATCCGCTTGGCGCCAGAGGCACAGCAAACAAAAACTGCCAGCATAGAGAGCAAGAGCGCGAGAATCGGTGGGCTATCTGTGACTTTCCTCCCGTACATCGCGACATCCCACCACGCGCCAAGCGTTCACCCGACTATTGCCCATCCGCTCGGCCTACGAGGGCTGCTTAACGCGTGGCAGTGTAACGATTCGGATCACGTGCTGCCTGGACCGCCAAACAGTTGTCTAGATTACCCAAAAAAGACCGTGGGTACCACTGTCAATGTCTCGCTTTAATCAAGCGCCCATTCACACGCAGTGCTTCAGACATGTTATGTGTTTGTCGCGCACTCATGTGGTGGAGTTTCGTACCTGGACCCAGGCCTGTGAACAACAGCGACCTTTTCGTGCTTGTTTGTGCCAGGTGTGTGATAAGCAAGCCATGATCGTCTTGAATGAAAACCCAGATTTTCAACATTGTCGTGTGATTTTCCAGCATGGCACACATGCCGGACGAGCTACTGTGCGGTAGCCGGAGATCCAAACAAAAAGGAAGAAACGTGAACATGTTTTTCTTCTGCCGTAGGTGGATTATAACCACGGTTATTTGTTTATCCCTCTGTAAAGATCTAAATAATGTAGTCATTCGGGAATTTCACCTATGACGAGTGCAATGACAACGATGGGCAGCGAAGGCGGTAATAAAGTACATTGTCGTTGCACTAGCCAACATTTGTAATTCATTTTCAATGACACCCTCGTTAAAGGTCCAGCTGGCTTTTCGTTAAAAGAATGTTTCCATTTTTCACTCGGTTAGTTAAAGCTGCGTGCATCAGACCTCTGCAGTCAAATTGCGAACCGTGTTGGGGCGCCAGCAGCTGGGCTCTAGGGGTAGTTTCGGCGTCGAATTTTTCGAAATTAGATAAATGATGTCCGTAAAGATACAAAAACTGCCTGTAATCCGCCCCTGTTGGCAGAAGCCAACACGTTTATTTGCTTTCGTTAAGTGTGGGCGTAATGCAACCTGGCCCTGTGGCTCTCTGACTGCGGAAACTTCTGGCCTAAAATACTTCCAGAGGGCACGCGCACACTGCCTCATACTTTGAACCTAAACGGGTAGGCAAGCGACGTCCAGTCTTGATGTTTCAGAATTCCTAAAGAACTAGAAAAAAGCGTGGAATAATGTTGCTTGTTCGGGTGACTGCGTATTTTCCAACTTGCTGATTTACAGGATTTCGTTTAAGCGAATGCTGCGTGCTTAGGCCTATGACCTACAGCCAAGTATCTCAGTGCTTTTTTCAAGTTTGATCTCAGTTGCTGCCTCCTTGCAAGTTACGAATATTCTGAGATGTATGTTGGCAGAAAATCTCTGAATGTAGCATGGTAGGTATTTGAAGCGGGAACTACAGTTTTACTTGATCTATCACTTGGTAACCCCCACAAGGATATTATCCGTGACGTCGGATAGTTGCCCACTTTCATTTTGCTACGGCATCACAACAATTATTGACATTTTAAAGCCATTTTACTGACATGTTAGTAAATACCGCGTACCCTGCAACACAGAACCCCTTCCCCCACCCCAGAACCTGCTCAGTAGAAGCGCACACACGCACACTCCAAACTGGACAACAGCTTGTGTAGAAATGAAATATTTATGACTAGCAGCCCGGGAGGTAAAAAAAGCCAACAGTGAGCGCAAATACGATAGCATCTGATGTAAACAATGTGATATTTTGGTGCATTTCTACCGTAATTGTTGCAACACATAGAGCTTCATCCGATAAATTAGGTACAAATTCGCTTTCATGGTCCACTCGGCGCGAACAAACCTGCGTCTTTAACCTTGACAACAAATCATGGCCGCTGCCTAGGACTATTAGCGTATTGCATAGTTGGCTAAGACACTGCAATTAAAATCTCTCAACACGGAGCCTGTGAAAAAATTACTTCTGATTTTTGGTAGAGAGCTATAGGTTGTTACATTTTACCTGAAAACTCCTTTGATGTAACGTATCAACTCTGTAATGTGCAAAACCCAGTAAGAGCTAAAAAATAGACCTAATAGGCCACGTACCAAATGCCACCTGGGGTGGCTTAAACGACATTTACGTTGTGAACGGAGCTACAGTGGCCGGTAAGAAAGGAGTGTTTGGCAGGCGCAGTATTAGGCAAAGAAATAGTAATTTCAGTGGTGGTGCTGGAAGGCTATGGTTGGAAGTGTCAACAGTGGATGTTTGAGCCATGGTATAGAAGACTGCATGCATATATGCAGGAAAATGGCAGATACAAATTCACATAACCACATTCCCCAAGTTGTATTCTATTAAGTATGACAGATGTTATAAAGACTCCATTGCAGCAGGGCTGCATCAATCAACTGAAATTTGGAAATATTTTAAAGTGGTTAATACACATTGTTTCCATTCACTTGTAACAGTTTTAAGGAACACCTGGGATGTTTTTTCATGATGTTGAGTCGCCTCAGCTCTCCCAACTCTAAGGAAAAAGTGGGAAAAGGTGGATACATTTTCCATGCTCAGCTTCTCAAACTTTCATGAAAGATTGTGACCCTGAGTGATACTTTGCTGAACCTCGAAAATCAAGGCTGACAGGAATATCAGGGAGACTTTAGTTCTTGCTGTTTACATTGACATCACTCTAGACTAGTGTTTGGCTCTCGCTGGAACTCAGCTTAATCCTAAACCGTATGTTGATCTTTGCTGGATCTATACATGTTCCAGGTCAGATCTTAGTTTTTACCAAATCTCTTGATATGAAGTCAGACTGGACCCTGGTTTTTGCAGGATTTCTCGAATTAAGATGAGGTTGAATCCTGGTTCTTGAATCTTTCGGCTAAATATGAGGCTGCACATTGGTTCTTGATATCTCGATATCTCGGTATAGATATCTCGGCCTAATCCCCGACTGGTCTCTGGGTTCTTCCTGGCTCCGGAGCCAGGAACCAGGAACCGGCTGCCAGGAAAAAGTCTTGGGGAAACAGGGTTATGTCTGTTGCGGATATGAGCCTGAACCCACACCCATACCAATCTCCTTTCCACGGGCCACCTCGTCCAGCGCAGCTAAGCAACAACGCACAGCCGCCCATAGGAGGAACTCGACAGCAGATATCACCGCCTGGGATACAGCCAGGACATCCCTCAGCGTCCCCGGGAGAGGTGTAATGTGTGCAGGGTCAGCTGGCTGATCACCCGGCCAGCGCCCACGATGCCCCCCCCCCCCCCCCCGGGACGCAGTCGGACGCAGACGGACGCGTGGACACTAGGACAAGGGTAAGCGATTGATAAGTTGGTGCATCGTACGCATTGTGACGTCAGCGGTGTTTGTCGAGTTTTGGGCGCAGTTGCATGGACCGTCTGACGGTGAGTACACCTCTGCTCTGCTTTTTGTTTCCTGAAGGTATGACGACACGGCACAGCACGGCACGGCACGGTGCGGCATGACTCAACACAGAATTCACGGTATATTTGTGTTGGTAGTTATACAAGAATGAAAACGATATCAGGAAATCCCATGTGTTTGGAAGATACGGGCTTCAATACAAGTAGCGTATTTTTTCACGCTATGTTGTCTATTGGAAGGTGCGTAATATTGGCGGCCGTCGTTTTAATGACGGGTTTTCGGTACAGTTCGACGGCAAAGTAGCATTGTATGGTAGGGGTAGGCTCGGGTGCTGCAGACTTTTTCTTACTTGAGCCCGATCGAGTAAGCGAGGAATTTTTCTTCTTTTTGGTTTCCTTCTTGTCTTCCTTTGCGGCTTTCTTCATAGCAGATTTCCTCTCCTTCTTTTCGTCCTTGATAGCTTGGATAGCATCCTAAGGACGACGGTAACAAAATTTTGACATGTTTCATGGTGATAAGCCAGCTTTTGTCATTCTACGCAGCTTTCAAACAGAACGCTTAATAGTTATACACAAGTTTGTTCACTCGCAACCCCCGCTCCGTTCCCCCTCCCATTCTCCCCTCTCTCGCTTTCGCCGTTTGTCCTGGCACAGGTCAGGAAATAAGTCCTTGCTCCAAATGTTGGGAATAGATAGCATCCCCACCGTGGTGCCCATCTCACCGCCCAGTGAGTCCCGGAGGTGAGGCCCCTCTGTCGCCGCTCGAGGTAAGCCACGGCGCCCCTCCTGGTAAGGCCCAGCAGTGGCCGTCTCACCGCCCAGTGGGTGTCGGTGAACGCGGCCGGTGCGGCGGCGTCCGAGGCCGTGCCGTACAGCAGCAGCGGTTTGCCGTCGGCCGCAGCAGTCCCCGCAGTGGGCAGCAGCACCGCGCCCAGGCTGGTCTCGGGGGCGCCGGTCGTCGTCGGCTCGGCGGGTCCGGCCGCTCGTCGTACGCGTGCTTCAGGACTCAGACCCGGCACGTACACCCCTCAGGTCAGACAGGCTCGCTCGGAGTTTATGGCTTAAGTGTGTAGCCCACGATGTTTGGCTCAGGGCGTCGGTGGTAATGTGAAGGTGGGTGCATTTTACGCGAAGAAATGACGGTATCTGAGGGACATTAATTGGAAACTTGACAATGTGAAACAGTGTTTCATTCCGTCCAGTTCCTGAAAACACTCCAGTTAGTAGTTGCACTGAACTGGAATTGCAAGAGCGAAAGTTTACACCAATTTCAGCAAGTTATTGGAGAACTCCAGGATTATCCTATTACGCTGAGTGCCCCTGTGACGTGGAGGACGAACACGGAGCAGCCATTCGAGGAGAGGACAGAGGAGGCATGACGTCCAAGAATTGAGACGTTGTTCCCCGAATGATACACATACAATGCACGTTTACAACGTTTTCCCTTTAAAAATACGACTTCCGTTTCAGGGCATCCCGGATCAAGGATAGACCTATATAAACCGAAGTTGTCATCTCTCAATCTCAGAGACGTGGCTGCACCAATGGAACGAAGGGTCCGCGTGTCAGCCAAGGGGACCACAGTGCATAAGAGGGGCTACTATGCCGTCAAGTGGCTCATGTGCTGAACAAGGATAGGGACGACAACCCGAGTGTCAGATGGTATCTTCTGCTGGTTGAGACCTCCCTTGCCTAGCAGTCGGAGCTCGCTTTTTGTTTTTAGTGATGTGCATCGGGCCAGCCATCGTGGCAAAAACTGCACCGACAATGTGCAGACTGGTGGCCAGGTGTTATTGTGCGTTGTGAAAGCATTTCATGTGAAATGACCGTACCTATCATATCTTTGATGACCTCCAGCCTCAGAGTTCCCTGCTCTGCACAATATTGTTTGCCATGTCGATTGCCGTCGGTGAACTGGCAGGGTAAGCTGCGCCTCGACAAGACTGCTGTACACTTGGAGTCATGTACCAGAGGGCCGGACCGCTTTGTGAAAACTCTGGTCGGAGTGACGGATTGCATGTCCATGTGGTATATGTGGCGATGCGTTGCGTCTTCAGGTTGTGGATGCGCCGAACGCGTACGTATTCCGTTGGCACGAAATAGCCCCGCTTAACACGCTACCTTGTAAACGTATCCGACTCAGTAGGCCCAGCTGGAAGCCGCAGGGCCCTTCTGGCCGTTCAGTGGCTCCTTTTTGCTACCAGAGGCACTCTGGTAACTGGCTTGTCCTTGTAGCTACCGGGGGCCCTGTGTGCTTTCAAAGCCCCCTCAGGACACCAAAACGGTTTCGAGACTACCCCGAGGACTTTTTAGCCGATCAGACGTCGCATTGGCCGCTCAGAGGCTTTGCGTGCCTAGGCCGCTTATGGCAGGCCGCTTATGAGCTGTTTTAGTTACTCATGACTCTTCTGTTCACCATGGATCCCCTCTATCCATCGAAGAGCCCCTAGCCGGTATTATCCCCTCTGGCTGTTCAGGCACTGCGCTAGCTGCCAGGGACCACTGTGGTCATCAATCGGCTCCTTAGATTGACCAGGGGTCGTTGAGGCCACGTAGATTGTCTGGCTTTTGAGAGACTCTGGGTACCTCGGCGGCCCGTCCGGTCGCCAGAAACATGTAACTGGACAATGACGGCCTTGTAGACACTCGGACCTAGGCCTTTGCTTTCTCAACATGGCGGCAAAATGGCATGGCGCAATAAAGCACTCGCTTTTTTTCAAATTCGTTGAAATATCATTTGGTTAAAACGCCAAAAACCGTCCGTACGTCTCGCTAGCTCACTGCTACCTCATTGCATACTTGTCATCTCACTTACTCAACTGCTTACCCCTCATTGCGCCACTTATTCATTCCCCTGGTCTTACCTTTCCTTCCTTTCCATGGATTTTGTCTTGCCTTTCACTGCCTTTTCACTGGTATCTTTTGTTTTCTTTTTGGCCTCCTTTTCTACTGTCTTTTTGTTCTTCTTTCCATCTTGTTCGCCTGAACGTTTTTTATCATCTTTTTTGCTTTCCCTTTTTAGTATCCTTTGTCTTCCCCTTTTTTATCTTCTTTGGACTCCATTTCTGAAAGTTAAACAGATCACGGAATGAAATAAGTTGAATAACATGTATATCTGTAATGAGCTGAATGACAACACGTTTTCAGACCTGTCACGTTATTATCAATCTACAGTTGCTTTGAGCTAATGGTTATTTCAAAGCACAAATAAGTTAGGCGCAAAGCTACATTAATCACACTCTTTCGCTCTTCTGGCAAGTTACCACCTGGCTCAGCTCAGGTAACTCTGGACCCTACACGCAGCTGTCCGTCGAGCGTGCCCCCGGTGTCACGGCCGGGCGGGACGAGCCCATCGGCGAGCCAACTCCTCCTTACCTCCCATCGCAGAAATCCTCCACCCGGAGGCCGGCGAGCACGGCGTCCCGAAGCCGGCCCAGCTACTCCTTACCTCCCGTCGCAGAACCTCCACCCGGAGGCCGGCGAGCACGGCGTCCCGAAGTCGGCCCAACGACTCCTTACCTCCCGTCGCAGGATCTCCACCCGGAGGCCGGTGAGCACGACGCCCCGAGGTCGGCCCAGCTCCTCCTTACTTCCCGTCGCAGAACCTTCACCCGGAGGCCAGCGAGCACGGCGTCCCGAAGTCGGCCCAACTCCTCCTTACCTCCCGTCGCAGAACCTCCACTCGAAGGCCGGCGAGCACGGCGTCCCGAAGTCGGCGCAGGTCGGAGCAGTACCACTCGAGCGGTGTCTCCAGCACCGTAACGTCACTGCGGTCCAGCAGCAGCGCCTCCAGCGGGCCGAGCGCGTTGCTTTCGTCGGCTGCGGCGCCCCCAGCAGCGTCCTCCTGCTCGCAACCAGAACATTCCGCTGTGACAACACTCGCTCTGGCAAGATGCCTGCCGTCGCCAGAATACCACGAGGTGCTAACCTTCGCTCTAGCGGGACGCCTGCCGTCGCCAGAACACTCCGCTGTGGCAATACCTGCTCTGGCAGGACGCCTGGCGCCGCCAGAATACTGCGGAGCGTCGACCGTCGCTCTGGCAGGACGCCTGCCGCCGCCAGAATAACCCGGGTGGTAACCATCGCTCTGGCGGGACGCCTGCCGTTATCAGAATACCGCGCTGTGGTAGCCCTCACTCTGGCGGGACGCCTGCCGTCCCCAGAATACCGCGCTGTGGTAACCCTCGCTCCGGCAAGGCTTCACCCAAACAACAGCCCATTTTCTAAACCATTGGCTCTGGTAAAAGCCTGCTCTGGCAACAGTCTGCTCTAGCACCAGTCCGCTCTGTTAGCGTTCAGTTGTGGTAGCCATCTTCTTTGGGGATGGTATTTGTTGGAACAGTCTCTGTTGTGGCGACAGTTCGCTTTGGCACAATCGGCGATGTCGGGAGTCTGCTTTGCTAACCGGCTGTTCCGATCCCCTCCCCCTCCCTCCTCCATTGCCTATGTGTTTCGTTTCCCCTTCTTCGTATTCGCTCTTGAACAGTCTTGCAATACAGGGAGGGGACGGGGCACAGCGGTTGATAGGAAAACTTTCGTAAGCATGACGGAGGGAGAGCTAGGTTATGCCTTCCTTTGGTTATTGGGAAACCTTTCCGATTTCCGACACCAGGAACTAGAAGAAAAAAAATGGAGCAAGGGGACAAAATCTAAAAAAGCAAACAAAGCTTCGCCCCAAATGCTTTCAAAGCTAGTTCAGGACGGCATAAGGAACTGTGAGACTGCCATAGTAGCGTGGCCACAAACGATGGCGGGATATACTCAGGCTCAGGCCCCAGATATCCCGGATCTAAGAAGAGACGGGTGAACTAAAGCGAGCATGCGTTTCCAAATCCAGGAATGAAAGCGACAAGGATGAGGCCTGTAGTATTTTCATTGCTAGTCTGAATGACTATCGACACGTCAACGTTGCAGTTTTATTCAGGCTACAGAGGCCGTGCTTCACGTTGTCACCCGAGCGCTCCAGACACACAAATGTGCCGCCTCGCTGCCTTCCAGAGCGGCACAGCCTATCCCGGGCCGCACACAGCGCACTACCAGCTCCACGGTCCCTACATATGCTCAATGGTGCTGGGGGACCTCTTCCGACCCGGAACTTAAAGCAACCCTTGGAAAAGCAGTTCAAAGGGGTGAGGTCGGGTGGGGATACAGACCAGCCAGGCACCTCGTGTAAGTAATGAGCTGCTCTACGAAGTGGTCTCGAGACCAGCTCCTTGCCATGTCAGCCGTGAGCTGAAGCTCTGCCTTTCTAGAACTACTGCTGATCCAGCCGCAGCATGTCGCCGCATGTTGCCGCAAAACACGTGAGGAGCCTCCAGAACACAGCGATCACCTGCAGGAGCAGCTTGTTGACTGTCACAGCCGTGCCGTTATGATTATCGAACCAAAAAGGTCCGTTTGTGCCCTGCTGCTAACGTTGCACCATGCAACGCATGTCGCACTATGTCGGGCTCACGCCACCACCACAAGCCTTTCGGTGAATTACGCTAGTCGCTGAACCAGACTTGATGCAAAAATGCACTCTCAGCCATGTACTCCTTCCAAAACTAACCCTTGTAACGCTGTAACGCTAACTACTGTTGGTTTTCGTTGTTCAAGTGTCGCTGAAACTTACAATTTCCTCGGGTTATTGCAATGGATTTTGTCTCAAATAGAACTGCACAGTCCTTGCTTTCACATATGTCGTGTGCGGCTGCACGGTTGCATGTGGGCGATGAAACTGGTATCAAACATTATAACACACCCTGTTGTTTTTTATATTCCCATGTCTAGCCTGTTGTACATTCACACCACAAAAGGAAGAGAGCGTCTGTTTTTCTCGAACCACGATACTTATCAGCCTCGCGCATTTTCCTCTCGCCCCAACAGCGCTTTGTCAATAGCTAGTTTTATCACGTGCATTTACTCAAGTCTACCACACGCAATGAGAACACAAACATCATCGATCACAATGGTCATCAAAACGGCGCAAGGATGGTCATTGTTCCCACACAAAATAAAGGCCCATTATATGAACAACATACGAGCAATCATCGCTGGCACCCACAGTGGCATTCATCACACTGAAGCCCATCAGAGCGGCACTCGCCAATGCGGCACCCATCACAGTGCACTGGCTACCATCACAGCAGCTCTCGCCTAAGCGACACCCATCACAGAACACCGGCTATCACCGAAGCAGCAGCCGCCAAGGCGGCACCCCAGAAGCAATACACGTCCAATCGGCCCCGTAACAGCGGCACGCGTCGCATCGGCTTCATCGAAGCGACGCCCAGCCACCGACAGCCTTGAGAGCTGCAGCCTACAGTAACCACGGCCAGCTGCCATCTCCCAGCCACCAGCAGCCTTGAGAGCTGCAGCTTGCAGTAGCCGCGGCCAACTGCCATCTCTCAGCCACCGGCAGCCTTGAGAGCTGCAGCCTGCAGTAACCACGGCCAGCTGCCATCGCAGCACACTGTTTGACCCTTTGCCCCGCGCTTCTCCGCGGGTCGGAGCGCCTTCTCGCGCCGTTTAATGTATTTCTGCTTGGAGCCTTTTAAAATAATTCCAGAAGCAGTCTTGCAAAACATTTCAATTGGGGGGCGGGGTCTCACGTAGTGAATGTTGAGCATGTGTGGGGAGATAACCAGCTGAGGCTATTTACCAATATTTGGGGTACTGGGAAAATATGGTTATGATGGAAGCAATATATTATATTGTGCAAACATCTCCCGCCCATGTAGTAACTTATATGTGCTGATGCGCATGCGGTCATCGACAATATTTACATTCCAAGATATCTGATGAGTCATCGATCTTTCCCGGCCAGTACAGGAAATTTCAGACGGGTGATAGGTATTTTAAAGCACAGCAAACTTTCATACTGTGCCGTTGGGTGGTGTTACGATCCGGATAAGAACAGGGGGTGTGTCACAGGAGACCTAACCTGGCATCATATAGCTGACGCTGCCGGTGACATATCTGGTGCATTGTACAATACTTTTAACATACTATAACTTAACTGATGCACACAAATTACGATCGGTAACACCTACGGCAACGCATCTCGTCACCAGAATGCGCACGGAGTACACACGGAGAAAAGAGATGACAAGAGTATCATCGGCATTGCGTGCGCACTACGGTCATGCGTGGTATATGTGTGGGAACACTGCTGGAAGGCTGGTGTGCGTAAGACTGCCGTCTACAATCTGAACTATCTCATTTTAAGATTACGGCGTAAGAGCGTAAAAAAACGATGTAGCTATAGATTTTCCGAGCAATACAAGTTGTCTTATAGCCTGAAATATATTTAATTGCTGTAATGAAAAAGAATCTTCACAGTAAAATATGCACATGAGTGTTTTCTGCATTAGCAGTTAGAGACAGCTCTGCACGTGGTTCATGGTCCGAGCTTATTCACCCTTGGTGAATGATCTGCGGTATTCTTGCACGCAGTAGTCACTTCGCGGGACAGCTGATCAAATTCCTGCGTAACGCGACACCTGACAGGTCGTCAGGAAACGACGCCGTCCAGTGTTACATTATTGGTAACAGCCTCTAACGAACTGGTATGGAACGATCCAGCGAGTCTGATTGCGCTGTTGAAATAATCGGTAAAGAACCCTCTAAAAGTCTGCTTCAGCTTCGGGGCTAAATAACGACATCTGGAAGTTGTAACTGATGACCTGGACGCCGCTGCTATGACACTCTTTTTCTCCTTCTTCGGGAAACATTAGTAATGTGCAGTAGCTTTCGATCGATCTGATCATCTTGGTATTACCTTACTGCGGCGAAAAGGCTGGACGCTGATGGAGCAGTCAGCTGGGTAAAAAGGCAAATCAAACTTGACGTTGACATCTGCATTTTCGTCTGCTAGATCTCTTAGTGTTGACCTTTTAGCGGCTCAGATTGTAGCGAGATGGAATCAAAGATTAAAATCGCGACACGCCCATAAGATTGGAAGGAACGACCGTGAAATGCTCTGATGGGTGGCCTAGGGTACTGTGTAGATGCTCTAAAGTCGTGTTTTACACCACACAACCTGCACGAGCTCTGCTGCAGGTCTTTTGTTTTCACTCGAAATTGGAGATCAGATGTGGTTTGGAACGCAATGCATTGCCAAGGGAGATTTTAAAGTCCTGCCAGAGTACTTTTTTGGCGGGATCAGAAGTCGGCTGCTATTCAGAAGTGAACCAGGGATTGTTAGGACAGTCATGTTTCGTACCTGCCCTGGAAGTGGTGAGGTAGATGGCGGGCTGACCTGGGTGCTGCCCCACTGGAACACCACGCACAGCTCTAGCCCCGGCCACTGCGAGACGCAGGCAGCAGTGTCAGCTCCACCACCGTCCGACAACAGCTCCAGCGCCGGCCACTGTGAGACGCAGCAGCGGTGTTAGCCCCACCACCGTCCGACTACAGCTCCACATACAGCTCCAGGCCCTGCCGCTGAAAGACGCGGGCAGCAGTGTCAGCTTCACCCTTG